ATGTACAAATGCACAGGTGTTTAGTATTTTAGATGCAAACAAAGCATTTTGGCAAATTAAACTGTCAGATTCAAGTTGTGAATTTACTACATTTAATACGCCGTTTGGTTATACGCCGTAGATATTGCTTTTTAAGGTTGCCATGTGGACTGAGTTCATCACCAGAAGTTTTTCTGAAATTTTTAGTGATTTAGAAGGAGTTCAAATATATATAGATGGTTTATTAGTTTGGGGAAAAGATAAAAAAGAACACGATTTACGATTAAAGAAGTAGTTGGGCAGAGCCAGAGAAAAGAATGTTAAATTGAACTTAAATAAATGTAAATTTGGGCTGAATGAAGTGAAATATATTGGACATATAGTTTTTAAAGATGGTTTAAAATCAGATGAAGACAAAATTAAGGCTATTCTAGATATAAAACCATAAAAAAATGTGAGAGAATAAGAAACTTTCTTAGGAATGATTACATATGTTTCTAGATTTATATCTAGTGTATCAAAATTGACATCATGTTTAAGAGATTTGTTGAAAAAACAAATTATTTGGAACTGGAATGCTACACATGAAAAGGCATTTAGAAGATTAAAAGATGTCTTAGTTAATAAACCAGTTTTACAGTATTATGACATAAATATGCACCAGTTTTACAGTATTATGGTATAAATATGCTCGCAGTTTTATCTGTAGATGCATCTCAAGAAGGACTAGGAGCAGTCTTACTGCAGAATAATTTACCAGTAACATATGCATCTAAGGCATTAACAGATACACAGAAGAATTATGCTCAAATTGAAAAGGAAACTTTAGCTATTTTATTTACGTGTGAGAAACTTCACCAGTATATATTTGGAAAATATATTACAGTGGAAAGTGACCATAAACCACTGGAATCAATTTTCAAAAAGCCATTAAATAAATTCCCTGTATGGTTACAAAGAATGCGTAAAGATTATAGCCGTATCAGTTTGAGATAAAATATAAACCAGGAAAAGAATTTTTTACAGCGGATGCATTATCAAGATCATGCACTGATAAAGGATCTGATTTCTTTGAAGGAGACGTAGAAGCTCATGCTGGATTGGTTGTAGAATGTATACCAATGTCTAAAGACGAAATGGAAATATTTCAACTGGAAACAGAAAAAGATGAAAAACTACAAGTTTTAAGGAAATTAATTAAAACTGGATGGCCAGATGAAAAATGTATGGTTCCAGAACTGGCAAAACCATATTTTAACTTCAGGGAAGAACTATCAAAAGCAAATAGATTAATATTTAAATTTAGTATTTATGCACTTCTAAATTATATGAAATTTTGCTTTTTGTATCAAAACATTCTGGATTAATTCAGGCAATCTTTTTAACTTAAGTAAGATACTATGGTCACCTCTGGCTGTAGGATCAATTCCTGATATGCTTTTTAATAATGGGTTGTTCAATGGCAAAGTCTTTTGCAGATATTTTGCACAGCTGATGAAAGCTTCAGTGAAATTTTTAAAAAAATCTTTAACATATGTTTCACTAAATCTTTTTAAAGTAAGTGCAATTGTAGCTGCTCCTAAATACATATTCTTTGGGGATAAAAGATGAGATTCATTTGCAATATCTAAAGTCAAAATTTCTGAGATAGATTTATTTTGGAGAAATTTTGACTTTAATAAACGGTGCTAAAAAATCAATAAATAGCTGCTTCTGTTCATCATGCAATTTATGTATTAAAGGCTCTTTCATTTGAAATAGACAGACATACTCTTTTAATAATGGCAATACAGACACATAAAAATGCATAATTAATTGCAGTTTTTTCCTGTCATAAAATAATTTTGAAATTATTCTTTCTTTTCGTTTAATCCCATCACTTGTCAAATGCTTTTGCTGTAAATACCTGTGGATATCTTTAATATGTTCTCTGCTTTCATTGCTCAGATTTCTTTGGTTATAGATACTGCAACATATATTAAAATATAATAACCTATCATGCTGAGTTAAAAATCCATAATAAAAAAATGGTTAAACAATCAAGCATGAGTAAATTACTCAACGTAACATCATATATGGAAAGCCAGCAGTGTTTTAATAAAATGTTCAATAGCAGTATATTTGACATTTGAAATCACACATATTTCCTCTAAATTTTCTTTTAAATCAATAGACCAGTTAAAGTCATTATATATATCTCGCAGGTAATCTTCTACCCACCCACCAAAATGGTTTAGAAAATACCTTGGATGCATTATGTAATGGTGGCAAGAATCTCCATCAATATCTAACAAATGAGGAGCCTTCTCATTATGAAGTCTCACCTCTTAATCCAGACTTTGATCCTCTCATTATATTGCATGAATCCATCAAAACAGACAGATTCTCAAATGGCAGCTGATTTTTGTCAAAAAGAGACACAATTTTTTGAAATAGTTGTTCAGCAGACACATTAAAAACATTAACAGATATTAAATGCTCGACCACTACTTTATTGTGTTCTGTAGAAAAGTAGCTGGCTAATATGCACAAAACTCTCATTCGATTACTACTTGTAGCTTCATCAATATTTAATGAAAATTTAAAATTTTTAAAATTGTTCACAGTTTTATTGAAAAATGATTTTGTGAAGCCCAATCTTATTTTATATGAAGCAGTAGGGCGAGCCATTGAGAGCTGTGATAGTGCCTTCTTATCAGATGCCATTGCTTTGGCGAAATCAATTATCACAGGTGCTACAGTATAAAGCAAATTATTTTCAGCTATAACTCCAAGCAGTTAACCCTCTAAGCTGGAAACTCTATCACAAATTGGAATACTTGGAGTTGCTAATTTTTCTTCTATTTTTCTCTCCTGTATGCTTACGTTTGTGTCTGTCAAAGATGAATATGATGATGGCATCCTGTAATTATCTCTTTTCACTACTTCTCTCCCACAATGTTTTTTGCTTTTGATATGGCTGCTAATAGCAACATATCCCCTTTTTCCATAATATATTAGATCAGAACACAATGCACACTTCCCTTTTCCACTGATATCCACTTTCTGAATGCAACTGCCAACGACCACTTCCATTTCTTGTCCACTCACATGAACTTTTATGCTGTTTTTCAGCCACGCAAATCCGAACTTATTTTTTTCTTCACTATCTATACGCTGAGCTTTGTGCTCATGATTCAGATTTAAGATATTCATACTGAAAAACTTACAACAACAAACAAAAAAGAAATAACATAACAATCTATGCTCAATTAGAGCATGCTACTTTACACATGCTAAAACTCGCACGTTCTCTGGATAACATCAGTAGGGTATCTGTATGTCTGACAAATGGCGCCAGCACCGATCACTGAAATTATTGAAGTCAGCTCTCATTTGACGGTTGCTTGCTCTTCTTTGATTCAATATTCGTACGCATCTAGTTCTGCCTTTCCACATAAGCCCCACCTACTTCGACTTGACGTGAAACAACGCATTTCACGATCTTTGGCATGATGTAAAGTTTTTTTTACAAAGAAAAGAGGAAGAGAGAGAGCATGTCCTCCATTTACCCCCCCACCACACACACACATACATTTGCCGGTCGTAATTTCTCAAGGGTTCTGCATCGATCTCAGAAACAGACCGGGTGACGTTCAAAAAAGCGGAATTTCGCAAAAACGTGGAAAACTTTCATGCCTGCAGTTAGGAGTACTAAAATGCAAGATCAAAGCAAGAGAAATATTATACTGGCCAGGAATGTCAAAAGAAATTGAAGATTTGGATTACTGAATTGTCAAACATGCTTACATTTACAAAATGCTAAAGAACCAATGATATCTAAAGAAATAGTGATGGATCCATGGGAAAGTATTGGGAAACAGATTCTCTTTAACTTTCCAAGGAAGAGATTATCTAATAGTTATAGATTATTTTAGCAAATATGTTGAAATTGGACATTTGGAAGATTTGTCAAGTGTAGCAGTGATAAAGCAATTGAAATCAATTTTTACAAGACATAGTATTCCAAAAATAGTATATTCGGATAATGGTCCACAATATAGTTGCAGGAACTTTAAGGAATTTGCAAGAAGATGGAATTTTGAAACCAGAACTTTAAGTCCAAATTACTCACAATCTAATGGAATGGTTGAAAGACATATTCAAACTTTTAAGCGAATGCTAGAAAAATCTATAGTTGACAACAAGGATCCATATTTAGTATTACTGGAATATCACAACTCTTCTATTTCAGATGAAATTAAGTCACCTTCAGAATTGATGTTTGGAAGAAAAGTAAATGGATTTGATGCCTATAAAAAAGAATTTCATCCAAGGTAAACGATATGAAGACCATAAATAACATTTTGAAGAGACAAACCCTACAAAAAAGCTATTATGATAGGAATGCAAGACCATTAAAACAAATTGTATTTTCATTCTTGAGGTAGGCATTAGTATTACTTTTATTTATTTATTATTATTTTTTGAGTTAAATATGCACCATTAATTAGCTTTCAAAAGAAAACAGTTATAACTATAAAAGCAAAGTTAATAGCATATTAATATAAACACAGTGAAAAAATGCAAATGGAACTATATTTGCCAATGAGTGCACAGTTTGGTATAAACAATTTAACATAAAAGAAAAAATAAATTTTAAACTATATCTGTTTTTAACAGTAGTGCACAAATGCATAAATCTCTAATTTGCATCACAATACAAATACACATTTGGCCTATTGTTTGCTTAGTTGATAAGAGTAAAGTATTTGTGGGTGGAATGCTAACAGGAGAAATACCTTCTTTCTATGGAAAACTGTCTAATATTCATACCACATACAAGGGAAACCATGAAATGCCCTTAGAATTAACCTGTTTGCTGAAATCTGAGCCCAGGTTGAATCTAATTCAGTGATCAGCAATGTAATTCCTTAGACTACTAGCAGATATGCATTTGACTTACAATTCCATTTAGTCTAAATAATTGGAGTTCTACTGTAATAAACGTATTGTGCAACTTAATGACTAATAAAAAATACCTTTCTAGCAGCAGCTATTAAAGCACCTTCAGTTGGTTGTCCCCTTAACTGATCATTCACTATATCAGCATTGTTACACACACATCCAGCCTACATGTTAAAAAAAAAAAAAAAAAAAAAAAAAAAAAAAAAAAAAAAAATAAATAATAATAAAATCAATTTTTTTTATAAAACATTATATACTAAAATAGCAAACTATCAGATACAAAGTATTCAATAAATACCTCCAAAGCACACATGACTGAATTCATTTGTTGAGCATTATTTCCAGTTTCTATAATACAAACTTGTCCAGGTTCACAATAACCAACACCACTGACCTTGAAACATTCAAAGTATGTGTTAGAATGAATAAATCAACACTTGAATTTTAATTGCACATTAAAATTTATATTTTCAAAAAATATTACTATTAGTACAAACTGTTGAATGTACTTAATACCTAAAAAATACTGAAAGTAACAATCTTGAATGATAAATATTTTTCTACAAGAATTTGCAATTTGTCCAACATAAAAAATGGCAGACAATCTTATGAAGATTAAAGGTTTTATTTTGCTATGAAAACAGGATAAGTAAAAATTAAATATTAAAAAAAAAAAAAAAAAAAAAAAATTGCAGGAGTCACAAATGAATAATTTCATGCTTTGCCAAGAACAATTTAAAAAAAAAATCAAGCAGACACCCAAATATAATCATTTGAACAGTAAAATACATTAAACACATTTTTACACTTAACAATGATAAAGGCCCGTTTCCACTTCTGCGTATGCGATGCGCATGCGTTTCTCCAATCAGAGAGCGAATTCACTTTGATTGACATCTGCGATTCGGTCAATGTGCGGTGACGGATGACGTACGGATGGAGTTCAACAATATTCAACTTCTATCCATATGTCTGTGGAAGCATTGGAGTCACATGGTAAAAAAGGAGCAATCAGGTGTCGTCACCAAAAACTAATGGCGGCAGAAGTAGCGATGAACGCTGGATCAGGGAAATAATATTTTGCTAAAAAATACTTATTTCTGAATTAAAATTATAGCGAGAAAATCTGCGTGCTGAAAAAGACAGCAATCAGCTGAATTTAGTTAAAAAAAAAGATAAGAAAAATAAGATAACTGCAACTACAGTACTAGTTCGCAGAGAAAATCAGGCGCAAAAATTATAATTCCAAGTCCATGAAATAGCAAAATTTGTCCTGACAATTATTTTCTAGTTCTGCACACACATTTACCCTTAATGAAAACAAACGTCTGACTATATCAAACTGCTATAGCAAATCAGATATGGCATTAAAAGATCTGCTATTTTTTTCTTTTGAAACAGGTAAAAACTAAAAGCAATTATTATAAATTAAATTTGATAGCCTTTTAAATATTCCACTGCATTCAAGAGTATGTTAAATTTGTATTTCTATTATAAATATACCTTTTTGG